ATCAGGCCAGCAGGGGAGGGCAGTTGGGAAGAACCAGACCTGCAAGGGAGGGCAGTTGGGGGCAATCAGGCCTGCAGGGGAGGGCAGTTAGGGGTTACGGGGCCGGCAGAGGAGGGCAGTTGGGGGGGACCCAGGCCTGCAAGGGAAGATAGTTGGAGGTGATCAGGCCAGCAGGGGAGGGCAGTTGGGGGCAGTCGGGCTGGCAGGGTAGCAGTCAGGTGTCAATCAGGCTGTCAGGGGAGTGGTTAGAGGGTGATCAGGCAGGCAGGCAGGCAAGCGGTTGGGAGCCAGCAGTCCGGGATTGTGAGAGGGATCCCAGATTGGAGAGGGTGCAGGCTGGACTGAGGGACATCCCCCCCCCACACACACACACACGAATTTTGTGCACCGGGCCTCTTGTTATCATTATCATATTATGCTTTGGTTGGTTGAACGGATGACTGGACACTTAGCATATTAGGCTTTTATTATATAGGATTTGGTCATATCTTTTTCTTGGGACAGATTCCCAGAAGTAAAATTTCTGACTCAGAACAGCGTGATATTTAAGATGATGAGCTTTCAGTAATACCTTCCTTTCCACATATTATAGAAGGCTCTTATGGACTCTTTTTCCTTTTTAAAAAAATTCTTATTTAATTTTATTGCGCTGATATTGGCTAATATAATTATATTGGTTTCAGGTGTGCATTTCTATAATATATTATCTATATATTGTATTGTGTTTTCACTACCTCAGGTCAAGTCTCCTTCCTTCACCATTTATCCACTTTATTGTCTTCTACCTCCCCTACCCCCCTTTCCCTGTGATAATCACCATACTGTTGTCTCTATCTGTGAGTTGTTGTTGTTCTTGTTTGTTTGCTTAGTCCCTTCACTTTTTTCACCCAGCCCCCAAACCCCCTTTCCCTCTAACAGTTGTCAGTCTGTTCTCTATCTATGAGTCTGTTTCTGTTTTGTTTGCTAGCTTATTTTATTCTTTAGATTCCACATATGAGTGAAATCATATGGTGCTTATCTTTCTCAGACTGGCTTATTTTACTTAGCATGGATTCTTGATTAAATGTACACTAATTACTGAGCTGTCCTAACTGGTAATTGGATGTTTATCCAACAGATAGGGACACGAGAATGGGATGGTTTGATACTGTGGAACTAATGCCTTCCTTTGGTGTATAATTGTTGAGTAGTTTAAATATTTACATACTCAAGAACCTGTAACTACTTGAGGATTTTGTATATGTACTCAGATAATTAGAATGCAAGGAAGATTGTGACCCATAACTTGGCTAAGTAAGTATCTTCTCATGGAAAAAGCAAAAATGTAGCTGAATGGCAGTCAAGGAAGGCAAGCTTTATTGGGGTAGTGACATCTGCACTGAATATTCAAGAGTATTTTTTCTGCCCTAGTTTGTTTGGCTCAGTGGATAGAGCATTGGCCTGCGGACTGAAGGGTCCCGGGTTCAATTCCAGTCAAGAGCACATGCTTGGGTATCAGGCTCCATCCCCAGTAGGCTGCATGCAGAAGATAGACGATTAATGATTCTCTCTCATCATTGATGTTTCTATCTCTCTCTCCCTCTCCCTTCTTCTCTAAAATCAATAAAAATAATGTATTAAAAAAAAAGAGTAGCCTGTCCCTCAGTAGCCAGATGCGTAGGGGAGGGATGGCCAAGTACATGAAGAAGCCTGAGCAAAGGCTGTAGGCAGGCACTCAGGTGGTAAAGGACCAGGGAGTGTTCTGGCAAGGGTGGAGCAAAAGGTAAGAAGCGGGGGTGGAAGAGAGGATAGAAAAGATGGTTTGCAGCACCTTAATTGTCAAGCAAAGGAGTTTAGATTTTATTTCATAGACAGTTGTGCCTTTGAACAGAAGAATGACGTGCTCAAAGTGGAGGTGACTGGAGAGGGTGTGTAGATGATTGATGTGAGGAAAAGGTCATAGATGAGAATGTTAGTTGAAAGATTTATTTTTGTAAAAGTTTAGTCTTAAGATACAGAACATTAGTGGGGACAGATGAGAAAGGAATGAGTGTAAAGAATTGAAAAGGAGGAGCTAATCGAATTTGATAACTAACTGAATGTGAGGACCTAGAAGTTGAATTCAGAAGCATACCAGGATTCTCAGAGAGGGGACAGCAACCACAAAGCACAGGAGAAAAGTGGGAGTAGCTGACCACCTCCTGGGGCAGGAAGAGAATATAACTTGTACTTAGGTTGTTTCAGGTGAGAGCGGGATCCTTAGAAATAATGAGATTACATCCATCTGAAAGCTGTCCCAGTAAACTTCAAATCCAGATGCTTTTAAGTTAAACTTCATTGCCTGTGATAGTCATTGGTTGAGGCTTGCTTTAAACAAACTTACTAGGAGAAGCTATTCGAATTGTAATATGTTCCCTGTTGGGTGGTCGTTCTCCATCCTCCTGAGCTCTGTTTTCTGAACACTTGACTTTGTTCTATTCACCCTCCTCTTCATTAAAAAACATTAAGCAATAATCTTTAAAGGTCTGTAGGCATCCGTTTTTAGTGAGCCAGGACAGCTTTTTTTATTTTTAAATGAAGCAATAGATGTGCTTGTAGCAAAAAAGAAAACAAAACACTAAACATGTCCTCTTTCTTTTTTTTAAGGGAATTGGCTCGGGAGAAGGTAATGCGAGAAGTTAAAGCCTTAGCTAAGCTGGAACACCCAGGCATTGTCAGGTATTTCAATGCTTGGTTGGAAGCACCACCAGAGAAATGGCAAGAAAAAATGGATGAAATTTGGCTGAAAGATGAAAGGTAACATTGTTAGACATAGATTCAAAAACTAGTATATCCTTTCAGGTTAGTTTTTTGTTTATGCAAACAAGATATTTCTATAACTTACAGATGATTTCCTAAAAAATAACAGCAGATTACTGTTCTCATCATGTTTTGGAACGTTCTCTCGTCACTGAGTCCTGGGTCCTCTTAGCAACAGCTGCGCCCTCCCCAAGCTGTTTCCGGTAAGGAAACAGCAAATAGTCATCGCAAATGCTGGCATCACAGGAAACTGTCATCAAATCAATTTAAATGGGAGCCCAGTGTCAGATGGGGACAAATCAATTCTTGGAATCAGAACAACCTCTCCCTCTGCAGATCCTGTTAATACTTCAGCTTCGATAATG